CTTCTTGGATAAGACAATTCAAGGTTCTCTAACACTGAAAGGGCGTTCCACTACAGGAGAAGGGATATGATTTGGCACATGTGTGGTACATGGCCAACTTTTTGACCACGTTTCTAATCCAAAAAGTCAATTAAAGACACCTATAAAGTCAAAACAACATCTATAAAGCTTCTAAAAAGCTTTCATAGTAAATATTATAGAATTAACTTATTTTTATCTACTTTTATTTACTTCTACCTATTTATACATGTAATTACTAGCTTCCATGCATATGTGTATGACAAAGCCTCAATATTTTCTTATCATAGACAAAGACTTTGTTAAAAAATAAGAAATATCTTTAGTGCAGAAAATCAAATTTTTACATATAAAATTAATATATGGTTATTTTTTGTCTTCTATTGATGTTATTCATAAAATTATTTCTTTAGATTTAGCAACTAATAGTCATAATAGCTTAGTAATATTCATTGTGATTAAATTTCCTTTCAACTTAATTATTTTTGGATTATTATTGTTAGATAAGTATAATTTTTAAAGAGACTAAATTTCTTATAATCTTGATTTTTTCCATAGTTTAAGTCAAATAGAAATTTATAAGTCTAATACATCCAAATATTTATTGATAGATGTAAAAGCTTTTACATATGTTGCAAAAAAAATATCACTTTTTGTTATTTTTGCCACAATTATTTTTTATAGTAGAAAGATTAGAAGTGGCATTATAAGTCAATATCAAGATTATTAAGTTATATTTTAGAGGAATAAAGTAAATATCCTTTTAAAGCGTAATTCATATGATTGTTCAATTGATCTTCAAGAAAGAGCTCAATTGCCATTTGGACGAATCTATAATTTATTACAAAATGAATTGGTTGTACTTCAAAAATACATTGACAAAAACTTAGCTAAGAACTTCATACATCATTTCAAATCTCTAGTAGAAATTCCCATCTTACTTGTGAAGAAAAAAGACACAACTTTGTGGATGTATATGAACTATTGAGCATTTAATAAGATCACCATGAAGAAGAAATATCCTTTAATTTAGATTTCAAAACTTCTTGATCAATTTAATTAATCAAATTATTATATAAAAATATAAATATAAATCTACAAGAAGCATACAATTTGGTAAGTATTAAAGAAGGAGATGAATAAAAGACTATGTTTCAAACTAGGTATGAATATTTTAAATATAATGATATATCTTTTGGATTCACAAATACACTTATTCCTTTTCAATATTTAATAAATAATATTTTAAAAGAGTTTCTTGATGATTTTATCATTTGTTATATTGACAACATTCTAATTTATTCTAAGAACACAAAAGAGTATCAATTTTATGTTTGTCATGTATTATAAAAACTTAGAGATGTAAGATTATACACCAAGATTGAAAAGTGTATATTTCATGCTATTTAAGTTGACTTCTTAGAATACAATATTTCAAATGATGGCCTTATGATGGATCCTAAGAAAATCAAAACTATCATGAATTAGAAGGTCTAAAAATAATAAGATATGTCTAATATCTTTTGAAATTTTCTAATTATTATTAATTCTTTATTAAGAACTTTTCTCAAGTTGCTGCTCTTTTTATATGTTTGACTTGTAAAAACAAACTTCAGTATTGTAAAGAAGCTGAAGAACTTTTTAAAGCTTTAAAGAAAATCTTTATTTTTGCATCAATCTTATATTGCATCAACTTCTTTAAGGCATTTTTATAGAAACAAATGCATTGGTCTTTGTTTTAGATGCAATATTGTCATAAATGGAAATAGATGATAGACTCTATCTAATAATTAATGCATGGATAGAATTTGTCATCTAGTAGTTAAGAGTAGATTGTTAAATTCCAATTTCTAAATTTCTTATTATAATATATTCTATAATTTTTTATAATATTTTTATTAATAAGTATAAAATCAAAAATCAAAAAGAATAAAAATTTAATATATACAAAAATTATAATTTATAATATATTCATAAAGAAAACATGTATATTACATAAAAGACTTACAAATCACATACTAAGGTTTAGAATCTTTGCAAATTTGAAATTTTATTTTTTAAGTTTACATATTATAATTAAGCTAAATGAATCATTCTTACTTATATTCTAAACTTTTAAAATAGTAGTTTTGATATTTTTTAATTTCTATATTGACTACTATATTGACTACAAATAATTAATACAATTAAAAATCTAAAAAATTAAATATCAAAATTTTAAAAATTCAATATTATCTTAAAAATATAAAAAAAAAAAATCAAAAAAAATTTAATCAAAATTTAAGATTTATACCATAAAGTAAAAAATAATATTTTTCAAAATATTCTTTTATAGTAGGAATGTTATTACTTACTTGATAGTTTATTTTTCTTGAATTCTATTATTTACAATAAAAAAATAATGGTATTTTTATTGAACCTTTATTGTTAATAAATATTTTTATCAAAAATAAGTAGTTGTGAATTTATGTTATCTTTTAATCTTAATGTAATAATTGAATTCATTAGAATTTTATTTTATTATTCATCAAATACTAGTAAATTAAATAAAAAGTATATAATGTTTTTTATTTTAATTATTTAAGTCTTAAAAATACATAAATATTTAATATATTCAAAATATATTTTTCACATATTAATAGTAAATAAAACATCTAAATTTTTATTATCATTTTGATTGTATAAATACCATATCATGATTTTTTAATCATTATAAATTAATACTTGTAAAATATTATTAAGTTTAAATTATAAAAATATAGTGGTTTAATTTTTATAATATCTATTTTTATATAGAAAATAAAGATCATTTTTAAAGTGTATTTAAATATATATATAAAAAATAAAATAAAAATTGGTTCAACTATTCAACCATATACTCTTATATTCTTATTGTACTTGTTTAAAATTAATATTATTTTATGAATAAAATAAAAAGCATATATGAATTTTTTTTAATTTAGAACAAATTTGTGGATTCTTTTTATTTTTATTTCCAATAAATTTAAAATCCATTGACTTATGTGCAATAGGACCATCTACTTTATTATAATTACTATAGTAATAAATGAAATCTCTAATGTTATAATAGATATAATGTTATTTGATAAATATCAAACTTAACATGTCAATTTTATTTTTTAGACTTAAAGTGATTGAGATTTTCAAAATAAGTTTCTGACCTAAACACAACAATGTCTATACAATAAACTAATGCTGATTTCAATTGAAGACAAAGTATATTGGGATTTCTTTTAATAAAATCTTGAAATGTTCAAGAAACATGAGATTTAACTTCTATAACTTGTTTGGTTAAAAAATCATCTACATGTTTCTATGATATATAAGCAGTCCTAATAGTTACAATTGAAGATGCATATAAAGATCTTTTAAATGTTTCAGTAAATACCATGTAATTATAACCAATTGGACTTAGAAAAGGATTTTGGGCACACAAAATATCTTCACGTCTATTCATGTTGTCTTTGCGAAGGTTAACACAAAATTAAAAGACAAATATAAAATATTCTTGTATATAAAATAAATATATAGATGCCATGTATATATAAAATAAAATAAAATTTTAATCATATAAACTAAAGAATTATATAGAAATATCATTGGAATAATAATAACAATAATAATTCATGATAATAAAAATAACTTGTGTCAAAAAATAAAAAATACAAATAATGTAAAAACTATAAAGATAAAAATAAATATAAATATAAAAAATTTAAATATTACTATGAACTTTTACTTAAAGTAGAAAAAAACACAAATCCAAAAAAATTTACAATTTATCTTAGCAAAATATATATATTTTTTATGAATAACATAATAAAAATTTATTCATAATCCAAATACAAAAACCATTGGTTTATTATGAAGTATAAATCAAAACAAAAATACATGATATTACTAAAACAATTATGAAAGTTACAAATTTCTAAAAGAATTATTGATTTAAAAAATATGTGATACTGAAACAACAAAAATAAATTAAGGATTATTAAATCAGTTCATGTATTGCTCAACATCTAATTTCTAAAGCCGTGTGAGGCATCTGGCATCTATAATTGGATAGAGTCAACCCTACAGCTACTTCACCGACACAGGTGTCAAGACGTTTCCACGGATTTTAGGACAACTGTGGACACACATTTGAATTTCTCGATGCACAGCCACACATTAGATTGTGCGTTGTGAATACACAATTCAATTTCTTGCTGAATTTCATGTCAATGTGGCTGGGGGAGTTCCAAGCCCCTTGACAAAAATTGTTTCGCAGATGCTCAGCGATCTTAGTGCCCACCCAAGCTCCCAATTTGCAGATCAAAAACTAACCCTAGTTGAGCAAGGTTATCGGAGGCAGCTCCATACGCAATTGTAGATGACAACTTTCTGCGGAATGTTTCTGCCTATTAGCACATATTCACATTCTTGGGGTGATATTATACAAATCGTTGCAGCTACCTTTAGTTTTAGATAATATTTTCTGAAGATGAAAAATGCATCCTTCAAGTGAAAAAAAATGATTTTATTCCAAATTGTTATTTCCATACTATCTACTAGCTTTTTAAAAAAATTGCAATAAGATCTAACGTCTGATTTATGTAGCAAGTAAAACTATCTATTTTAAATTCTTATCCAGAAAACTGAAAATTAAAAGAAATGGAAAGAGTTATAAATTCATGATCATGCAAATGCAAAGGTTGGTGGGCAACCATGTCTCAAGATCTAACATACACAAATGTAAATTTAAATATTTGGCATATTATGAGCCTCTAAAATATTGGATTAGACTTGTTATAAACAAATTAAAGTAAAAAACTGCTGAAAGTATTAATCTACTGGCTAACATTTCGCTTCCAGCAAGTGCAGAATTCACAAAAAGAAAAACTTCTTACCCCTGTTATTCAATTTGTTTCCAAAGCATGGATGGAAGCATTTTCGGCTGCCCTCGACGGATAAAATATTTGGTTCGATGAACGCCGTTGAATTGGCCCAGAGACTCAGCTCCAGAAGCAGCCAGCCGTCGCGCACACCGTGTCCCCGAAGGCGGACTTTCGGGAGCTGAACAATCGTGTCAATACGTCAATTCGTCAACATCGTCATTGGGTTTTATGGGTTCGAATTTGTCTCAGGGTTTGTCTCCCTCTGTTTTTTGGGTTCATGGCAAGATGCTTTGAAAGCTTAGGGTTGGCGATGGAACAGAGTAAGAGCCGGTTTGATTTCCTGTAGTGAGTTTCTAACTGCTCTCCTTTTGCAATTCGGTGAATAACAGAAGCCGAGAGGATTCGCGAGGAACGACGCAGCCCATTAAGGTCCTGGCAGAGGATGGAGTGTTGGGGTGTAAAGGTGGCGAAACACGTAGTTGAATCTCGCAGATGAATTTGGTGAAATGATAATTTGAAGAGTAGAGTGTTGATCGCAATGATGAAAGGTGTGATGACGGGTGTGGCGTGTTTCGTGAAGGCACCGCCGACAGTGCTTTTAATGACTCGATTTCCTGTGTTGCGCTTCCTCTCTTCATCACCACAGTCGTGTCTGCAGGTTGGACTGCATCGGAAGTCGTTTCTGCGGAATTCGTTGATCGCTGCTAATTCCTTTTTGTCTCGCGAGCTATCAACGCATGGCAAAGGTTGCTACGTTCCTCCAAGTTCATTTCCAGGTCGATTGAGTTTATGTTCTAGTGTGGGTCGCTATGAGGGAATTCACAGTCGCCATCGGAGTTTACGGCATTCGTGGCTGGTAGGAATTCCCAGCCACCGCAGGGGTTTTGGTTCGAGTAGTAGTAATGTTGCATCAGGAGCTGTAGCTGCTGTTCCTCCAGTAGCAGGGCCTGGTTTACCTCCACCGAGTGATGCCGTAGGCGATGTCACACCTGGAGATTCAGGCGATTCTGTTGCGAATGTTGCTGAGAGTGTGCGAAACTCCGTGAACTCCCATGTGATGACATTGAGAGATGCGGCGGCCCGGATGTTCCCTGAGGTTGGCAACTGGATGGATCCATCTAGTGGGGGTGTTGCCGAGCTGTTGATACCTGCCAGCAGCGCCATCGGAGTTTCCTTAGTGGCTTGGCTCTTGCTTCCGAAATTGTTACGAAAATTTCATTTCTATGTTGAGTCAGGTCCCACCGCGCGCCTACTTGGACGATTGCCGCATGAGAAGCAACCGTATGAGCTCAGTGTATTTAGCGCTTTGGATATGCCAGCAAGATTGCTTGCCTCGGCAGTGACATTCAGCTATCTGTGAGTTTTTCACCAAATCCATGATTCAATCCATCTTATGAATTCTCAATTGCAATGTCTTGCGTATTTCGGGTTTTGAAGTAGGATTACGTACGATGTTGGCAGAGGTTACATCGTGGCGCCCACGTCTATAGGAGCACACTACTTGACACAAATTTGGAGCGGGGCAACAGTGATAAGTACGATTTGGTTCCTTTACCGGTGGAAGAGTAATGCCTTTACCCGCATGGTAACGGGAAAGACGATCTCAAATGCAGAGAGAGAACGCTATCTGACCATGGATCGATTATCGTCCGTAGGCTTGTTCGTACTGGGAGCCATGGCGTTTGCTGAAGCATGTGGGGTGGCTGTGCAATCGATCCTGACAGTTGGAGGTATTGGAGGTGAGTTTTTAGTATCAAATTATGATGCTAAAGAAACAGATCAGCGGAGATGAGAGCTTTACGAACAGTATTAGGTGAAGTCGGGGGTTTGAAGTATAGCCTATTGGCAGCTTTGTAGTGTCCTGGAGAGAATTTGCCATAAGCTAATCAGAACTGATTTCTTTTTTCATTTACTTCCTTGCAGCTTCATTCTTGGATTTCTGACTCCTGTAATTTTGACTAGTGGAGAACGTTTTTGGTGATGTAAACAGGAGTTGCAACAGCTTTTGCTGCTAGGGACATATTGGGGAATATGCTTAGTGGTGTAGCATTACAGTTCTCCAGACCGTTCACTGTTGGTGACACGATTTCCGTAAGATTTTCTTCTTAGGCTGGCATAGATGGAGTCTTAAACTGTGGTCTTAAGATCATCTGAATAATTGTGCACTTCTCTTGAGATCTGTTTCATCTCTCCATCTCTTCATCTCATGTTCAAATCTTGTCTGTAATTCATTAGGGTTGTGTTCATGTTTTTAATTAAAAGTTCTGTTCTCAGGCAGGATCTGTGAATGGACAAGTGGTTGAGATGGGCCTGCATACCACACAGTTGCTCAACTCCGACAAGTTCCCGATCGTTGTGCCCAATTCTTTTTTTTCCAATCAGGTTCTTGCTTCTGGAACTTTTACTTCATGGCATAGCGTTGCTTGCCATTTATGTAGGAAGTTTGAATATATTATGAGCAGATTAGGAAACTCTATCATTTGGTGTGTTAATCCGTCTCATCATGGAGAAAAAGAAAGACGAAATTGGCTTCAGACGCTATGAGTAGTTCTAAGAGAGTTGTTTATCATTCATGCAGGTTATTATAAATAAATCTCGTGCACGGTATCGAGCTTACTCATTCAACCTGCCTGTTCACATCCAAGACCTTGAGAAAATCCCAAGTATTACTAGTGAGATTCGCCATATGATAGAGTCACATCCGAAAGTTTTCTTGGAGAAGGAGAAGCCTCGATGTTATGTTTCTCAAGTGGGACCATTATCTTTGAATATAGCTGTCACGTGCAACCTCATACCAATGGTATATGTATAACGAATTTTGGATTTTCCTTCATGTTCTGTTTCGTAAGGCGTGATGGTCGGTTGATATGATAATAGTTTTTTCTCCTTCTCAGAAAGTCGAGAAAGTGTTCTGTTGCTTTTGCTCATAGTGACATGTATCTTGCTCCACAGTTGAGACTTATTTCATCTTCAGCAGGGAATCGATAATGGTATGTCTAATGCACTTATGTAGTGTCATCATTTTAGCTCCCATTTACCATGTAAATCATCTCATTTATCCCGGTTTACCATTCTTCTGCGTGCAGGGAACAGACGGCTATCTGACTGCTGGCGAAGAGTTGCTGATTGAGTCGGCCCGGCTTGTTGCCAAGGCAGGCGCCACGTTGGGTAATCCGGGTGGGGCTTGAGATTTGTAAGTTTTAAATACCTTGTGGTGAAGTGATTTTTGGATCAAGTATGATTGTTGTGCTTATCTGTAAACCCGCAGAATTGCCGTAATTAGCACAAGCATTCTGCTGTTTGGAAGCTGCATGTTCCTTTTCCTTTGGATAGGACTGCATAATCCATTTTAGGCTCTCTGATACTCAAGTAGTGATTTTCAGAGTTTGACACGGTTTGCAAAAGATGTGAAATAAGTCGTACTACTAGTAGATTGTGGGATTGTAAATATCTCCTGCAGTGTAGCAGCAGCATGATAACTAGGTTCTCTCTGTATGTCTCTCTTCAATAAGTAGTGTTACACTGTCTACCTTTGTGGCCGTGGATCTTCACGCCCTTGATGGGAAGAAAGTAAGCAAATCTAGTTGGAGAGTTTGGGTGGAAACTTTACCTTGGTGTGTCTTTCTCTGTGCATGATTTTAGTGAATATTAGTTTGGGATGAGGTGGGATGTGTGTAAGCGGGTTGATGCAATGTTTCTACCTGGTGGAGTCCCTGCAGAGTGGTGGTTTACCGACAGTAATGAGAGCAGGATGTGGCCATATTTTTAACTTGGAGTTTGAAGGAGGGGAGGAGTTTTGATCGGATAGGCTTAACATCTTTGAAATGCAGTTTATAGTGAGAAACATCCAGCAGAAAGGAATGTCTTAAGATTTGGAATTTGAATATATAAACATTATAAAAAAATAAAAATGGTGATACAAATGAAGTTGCAAAGAATATTTTGAAGTTGAAAGGATTTAACATTGAATTGAACAAATAGAATTTTGATTGAGGTAGAGAAGGAAACAACAAGGGTATATTCTATGGGAGACAATCAATGTCTCCAATTTTAAGATGCAGTTGCCTATTATTTATGATTTTCAAACCAACTTTGATATTACAAGAAACTATCGTGAGATACAATATTTCAATTACAATACAAACTTTATTTTTCATAAAACTTATTTATTTATATAATTACATATATAAATAATAATAAAATGGTTTAATTATATTACAAATAAGAGAAGATAGAAAATCAATTGCGATTTTTAAAAATTGCGTCAGCTAATCAATAAATATGAAGTAATAATAATAAAAAGTAATAAAAACAACAATAACAGATTTAACATCAGAATAAATTATTATAGTTTATTGAGTATAAAATAAAATTGTATATCACCTACAGCTAAAAAAGAAAAGAAAAATTAGGGGTCAAATATGGTGATGTCATTAATACAAAGATCACATAGTATTTACTTTTAATACATTTTTATCTAATATTTTGGTAAAAAGTTTTATCAATTAGATTATCTTGAATTAAAATTTAATGCTTAAATTAAATTAAAAAATAAATATTATGACTTTCTTTACAATAATGTTTTAATATATAATGTTGTTTTTATCCACAAAACTCGTAAATAAATGCAATAATATTAAACTTTAACTAATATTATATTTCTTCAATATTAACTTGCTTTAGTATTGCAACAATCTGGTTGATATATGAATAAAAATCCTCAAGTAGGAATTGTAGAGATATTTCAACTAATTGCAAAAATTTCACATCATTTACAATAAAGAATTTAGTATCACGGATGTCTCATTAGCAACAAGTAAAAAAATGACATTATTGTGTAGATTAATGTTTTATTTCTACAAAAATAAATAATCAAAAAGACTTCAATAAAGTATTATGCATTCTAAATTGCACATAGAATACATTAGAATACTACTGCATAGTAAAGTTCACTATTAAAGAAAAAAAAATATATTATAAAGAAACTATATATATATATATATATATATATATAATTAAATAATTATACATATGCAAGTTTTCCAAATATTTTTATATCATCCTAATATCTACAACACAAATTTGCAGGAGAGTTTTATTATTGAAGGAGTAATTGATATTTACTCTATTACTTCAAAGAGGGACTGATTGTAAATTTGTGTTGATAATCTAATCAGTTCAAAGAGGGACTAATTTTAGTATATTTAGTTTTTAGAATTTATCTTAAAGAATCAAGACCACATTTTTTTGGCATGCAAGATAGGGTAGTACGAAATTATCTTTGATCTTAATTCTATGATAAACAGATTTTTTTAACAAATGTTTTTAAAAATCCAGAATTCAAACAAGTCCAATTTTTTGGGATGTGAATACTGAACTTGATGAGCATGATCAAGTTGCTGAAATGATACAACAAACATAGTTATAAAAAGACAACATAGTGCATGCAATCTTCTAATTGCTTAGATTTAAACCCAACCTTAACCTTTTCAAAAAGAACACTCTTACTATGCAAAATATAAATTCCATTTTATTTTCCCACTAAAATAACAATACATGCTATTAAGTTCACAAATTGCAATCTTATGCAAGGATTCTCAAAAGAAAAAATTTCAAACATTAAATAAATAAATATCTATACATAGTCTTGTAAAAATCTAAGGTTATATAAGATGATTTATAAAAGAAAATGTAGTACATTTCTATTTGGTTTACAACAATAATTTTTATAAAGGAGTGCAACTTTCATAATTGTGTCCACACAAGAAACACACTCTTTAAACATCTCCAAGTGAAATTGCTTCTGTTTAATTTGTTTGTTATTGTTGTTGTTAGAACACCTCCACTAAAGCAGCCAATGAGAACGCTATTGCAGTGAAACACATGTAAAATATGTGACCACAACTTTGTCAGAAAACCCCACCTCTAAGTTAGCAACCTGTTATTTGAACACTAAAAAGAAAAGGTGCCATTGATACCCCATTTATGAAATATATTATGGGCCACGCCACGATTTCATTCTCTCCCTCACATGCTGCCCCTTTTTTTGTGGCTCTGGTGAAACTGAGAATGTAGATAAGCTGGGGGCTACCCGAAATCACCGAACAAGCGAATAAGCATGTAGGAGTTGCAGCTAAAATTAGGTCGAAGCTGCAGTCAGAGTTTCAGTGTTTACATCGGCCGACTGAGCCTGCAGTAGTGACATTGACAACTGGTGTGGAACTGAGATGGCGCTTAGAATAGAGAACCCATATTACAAGCTACTGGATACGGATGAGGAGATCGTGGAAGACTTCGAATTAATGTCGCGGAACGCAAGGGAGACGCAGTTGGAGTTGTTGCGCAAGATTCTAGAGCGGAATGCAAATGTGGAGTATTTGCAGCGCCAGGGATTGAACGGCCGCACCGATGAGGCCTCCTTCAAGGCTTGCGTGCCTGTCAGCACTTACGCTAACATCGAAGCCGATGTGGACCGCATTGCTGATGGTGATACATCTCCGATTTGTTGCGTCGACCCCCCGACTTCCTTTGCCCTCAGGTTACACACATGCATTCTCTTCCATATGTCTCGTATTCCTAGAGTGCCATCTAGGCTTATGCTCTTTGTACTTTGTATTTCTAGTCGTTGTGCTGTTCTGCGCATGGAGGCAAATACTGGTAGTGTAACTGGAAAAGGTTGAGGTGGAGATTTTATGATTACAGATAGGACATGAGCCCATGAACTGAATAGAATGAGGTTTTAAGTAGCTTTGGATGGCACGATTGGCGTATAAGTCTGTTGATTTGTGACTCACTAACTCGGAGCTGAATGTTTGGGTACAATTGCTTAGCTCGGGGACTACTGGAGGGAAGTGTAAGTTGATTCCGCGTACTGATGCTTTACTGGCACAAGCGATGAAGGCTGGCCAGATTGGTTCAGTTTACCGGAGAAGGTAAGAAATTATTGCTTAAGGTCTTGGTTGTTTGCACTTGTGGCAGTTAGTACTAGCGATGTGTTGCTGACCTCACTGGTGTTCACATGTCATCCTCAAACATGGATATTGTGTTTGAAAAAGCTTATATTATGTTGTGGTCGTGGCCCTGTTGCCAGAGCATTTCCTAGAAAACATGAAGGACCACCAGTGGTGATGTCGTTTCAGTATGCAGGGCGACAGTTTGATACGAAGTCAGGTTTGAAAGCAGGCACTGGGACAACTAATTTCTACAGAAGTGCAGCTTTCAAGAACGCAAAATCTGCGCCGTTTAGTGCGACAAGTCCTGTTGACATAGTGTTGGGATACGATGTTCCTCAACAGATGTATTGCCACCTGCTGTGTGGACTATATCGTTGTCAAGAAGTGGAGCAGATGTCTGCTATTTTCGCATACATGATTGTCGAGCCCTTCCGGCTTCTCGAACGGGTACCTTTCTACTAACCGGAGCAGTGCACGCTAACCTATACAGTCGATGTATAGGTAGGCATGAAAATGTGTTGGCGGTACCATACAGAGATTCTCATCTTCTAGCTTATTGATGATGTGTGCTTTGCCTGAGATTGAAGGTGTGGCGGGACATCTGCAAGGACATACGGGAAGGGACAGTGAACGAGCGTGTAAGTGACCCTGAGCTTCGCTCAAGTGTTCTAAAAGTCTTGTCACCGAATCCAGAGCTCGCGGACTTAATCGAGCGTGAGTGTGCCAAGGGATGGTCTGGTATCATCGAGCGGCTGTTTCCTAATATCAACTACATAATGAGCATTTTTTCGGGCTCTATGTTACCCTACGTTGCACCCATGCGACAATATGCTGGATCAGTCCCACTCATGAATGCGGATTACGGTGCTTCTGAGGCATGGATAGGCATCAACCTCGACCCTCGGTGCCCGGCGGAGGACGCATCCTTCACTATTATTCCCAACTTCGCCTACTTCGAGTTCATCCCTGTTAACCGGGATTCCGCAGGCTATGACTCTGTCGAGGGCGATGAGATAGTTGGGCTCACAGATGTCAAGGTTGGTCAAGAGTACGAGATAGTGTTAACCACAGTAGGAGGTATGTGACCAGGGGATCTACACTGGACCTACTTCTCGGCTATCACAATATGTCTAGTGTTCTAGGAGGGATGAGATCTAAAGGTACTAGTGATTTTTTGAAGGGTTCGTGATAATAATGCCTTATAGCCTTAACCACAGTTGCGTGACTTCTGCAGGTTTGTACCGCTATAGACTGGGTGACATAGTTAAGGTCACTGGTTTCTTCAACTCAACTCCCAAGGTGGCCTTCGTATGTCGAAAAGGAGTTGTCCTGAGTGTGAATACTGACAAGACTGACGAAGAAGAGCTACGATTGGTTGTGGGAAAAGCATCTTTATTGCTCAAAGAATCAAATATGGAGCTGGCTGATTACAGCAGTTACACTGACCAAGACTCACAGCCTGGACATTATGTAATCTTTTGGGAGTTGCGAAGTCACGAACACCTCGACATGGATCTTTTAAGTGAGTGCTGCAAAGTTCTTGATCAGTCTTTTAATAATCCTTACATGAGGGGCAGAGCAGCTCGGACAATTGGACCATTGGAGTTGGCCATTGTGAAGGAGGGTGCATTCGCTCGTCTGATGGAGCAATTTGTGCGAAAGAACGGAGTAGGAGCTAGTCAATACAAGGTATCGCGATGCTTCAAAAATCCCGCCACATTGAAGCATTTCCGAGATGAGACTATTGCTACATTGCGGAGTCCAGATTTTCCACCCGAATTGTTGGCAGCATGGCGACCATCTACAAAAATCGTTGGATGATACAGGAAGTTACTTCCTGGAAAAGCATGAGATGTTACCGCGTTCCTACGTGTATTTTATCATTCATGGATCCAGACAGGAAAACCGTTAAGAGGAGTGATGGAACGTTATGTAACACCGGCTGGTGTTAAATATTCACGACAGTTCCTGAGTACAACAGTCGACAAGAAGATGGAGAGAAACAATTGAAGCCAGTTTATACAGAATAAATTTGGTATTATTGTTTTAGTCTTTTTAGTAGCCGAAATAACGACGAATTTTCTACGTACATATTTGATTTTTTTAACCAACTTATATAATTCCATTTCTAAATAGTAATACGTCTCGACGATCAAAAATCTTAATTGAGTGACATTTAGTCACGATGACAACTACACAAAGTGCCACTTCCATACAAGTACATTTTCTATGCTAGCGCCGGTGATATGAAATTATTTACATACACAGGGAAAAAACTCTATTTATAACACTGTTTAGCGTCAGAACCGAAATTGGTGAAAGATCACTTAAAATACAATGAAATATCTAACAAACAACTAAAATTTGCCCCTTGCCACAAATAATACACCTTGAAACAGTGACATTACTCATTCAATGTCTCTGATAAGTGAGAAAAAATTCTCTTGAGACATACCGATCGGAAGTACAAACGTGTACGTAGTCCTTGCCAGTTATCACATCTAGCCATGTCGTCAGACACGTATTTTTTTTTTTTTTTTTTTGACACGAGCAAAAAGATTCTTTACTGCAGAAAAGAAATAAAAACAAGCCATTCGACCAAGTCCAGCTAGATACGTTACAATTACAGCGGAAACTCCTTTACCATTGTAATCAAGAACTGAATAGTTTCCACTTAGCTGATTCTGTGACCCACGATGTCACAACCTCGTTGGAGCAGCATTGATTCTGAAAATCGTCCAGGAGCGTTGATTTCCTTTCTGGGACTTCTTAATTCTGGCATGTGTTGACGGCCACGCAAGTCTCCCGCAATTGACAAGACTAAGCCACATCATATTGGGTTTTATTTTTATTTTTATTTTTTATTTTTTTTCTAGTATCTACCAGTAAGTGCTGCATCCTTGGGTTCAATCCATATACCCCTTGTAGAAGTAACCACATCCTACTAACTTTCTTATAATGCCATACAAATTGATGTGCAAAGATTATATATTTCCACCCAATACTCAAGAGATGAATAATATTTCTTCACATCATATAAACTATATGTTTAGCATTGCTCACCTAGATTCCTCTTGGGTCTCTACTTGTGTCCTGTATTCTTACTCCATTGGCCACACTTCCAATAATATTGTAATATAACTTGCATATGATTATACATTGGCTAGGTCGAGTAGGAATAAGTTTTTGAAGTATTTTAAGTCCCTATTTCCAAATTTGTGAGATTGATGCACATTCATAGATCTTGTGTATTACTGTTTTTGGTCTTTCTTCCATACAAACACAACAATATTGATCAATAGCCCCATTTACTTGACCATGCCATATATATATATATATATATATATATTACTATTGACCAATGCCATATAAGCCATATAAGACTTGCTTCTTTTCATTCTTTTATTTATTCCATACATTATTCCATTTCAATTTATTAGAGCATGGGAGAATATCCGACCATTTTTTTTTAACCATCGTCAAAATCTTATGACATTTTTTGAGCATATCTCTTCCTAACTAAGTCAAGTAATTCAACCATGGAATGTCATTTATCCATTAAAATTAGCTAGGATTCCATTGGAATATACCTATTTGACCATAAAAAGATAGGTGGGTGTTTCCTTCTATCTACATTGCATTAATTCTACTTCTACTTGGTACATAACTCTAGCCACAAAGAAACATGTACTTTATCCATTGAAAGAACTAATGACCTTTTATAAATGTTCAATCCAATTGACAACAAATAAATAATGTATATTTATTTGCACATCATATATTTTTATTTAATTAGAGATCTAGTAATTAATTATATTTTTCATGAGAATATATTCTCCACTAACTTAGAAAACTACTTGAAGGAATAGATCCATATCTTATGTATAGATGCTGAGCCATTCTCTCAGCATATATTTCTTAACTTTAGGAAAAAGTAAGTGGTTCCATGTATTATTTGGATAGCTAAGGATTCCTTCCCAAACTGGCCATTCATTGAGATATGAACTATAGCACTCTTTGACCTTCTTAGTTGTGAAGAATCTCTTGCCATTCTAAATGTCATAATACATCTATATATCTGCTTTGTGAAAGCAAGATGTATGGAATTTAGAAAAGCCATGTCTGATTAAATGTATTGTATGGCAATGCCATAGGAAATAATTTAGCAATTCTTTTGTATATTGCGGAGTCACAAATGTAATTTTTGAGTGGAATTTTTTCTAAGCTACGACAACCCTTTTCTATATTGTAGATCCACAATAGTACTATTGACTTAGAAAAGTGTAATAGGTAAGACATAGAAACCATCTTCCTTCCACATAAGGTTTTGAGTGACTTAATCAATATTATAATGTAAGTTGGAGATTTAATTGTTCTAATTCTAATGCTTTAATAATCCATCTAGTCATGAGTGTTGTCATCACATCTTTTGGATGAATCAAATTAATGCTGCCTTTGGCTTTAGGTTGATAACATTGAATCCACCATACTTTAGTCTTTTAGCATTCCATTGTTCTAGAGGTAAGGAAGGGTCTAAACATGACCTTTAAATTTGTAATGTCTTTTTTTGTCCCTCTCCATAATGCCATAAAAAATACGATGATGAAAGTAAGATGCTATTAACAATCATACCCTATCAAATTGCACTGATTTGTATTATATACCAATAGGAGAGTTCTTTTTTTCTATATTTTAGATTCCAAAAATTTATCACTATTACATGAGTTGAGAGACAATCTAAATGGAGATCCTAACAAATTACTTACATTATCAACTTCTTTCCATGTTATTCTGATTTTTTTTAATCCATGGAAGATTTGTCATGTTGATAGGGTCTTTTTAATAGCCACTTGACTTTTGCCAATTGATATTTAGACCAGATGCTAGGAAAAATATATCAAGTAAAATAAATAAGGTTACATATAAAAGTTTATATATCCCAAAGTATGAAGGAAGTATCATCTATATATTAATTTATTACTTATTTCCATTTCTTGTTGGAAGTTGGATTCCTTGAATCTTGCTTTCTTTGATTTTCTTAGCTACCATGGTATTAAGAACTTTTACTGTAAGGATAAAAAGAGAAGGGAGCAAGCAAACACTCTTGTTGCACTTTCCTTTGTATCACAATGTAAAATGAGGATGAACCATTAATTTTATATTTACCTCTGCATCCTCTAAAAATCAAATTAATTATATTATCAAATTCACTTGGTAAATCAAAAGCTTCTATTGCAAAGAATATGAAGTTCTAATCCACTATATCACATATTTTGAAGAATTTTAATCTACTACAAAGCTTACGGTTTTATGAATCTCAATCTTTTGTAACTTATCCATCCACATTGCTAGTGTTGCTTGTTTATCAACATTTCTTATATCTTGTTGTAAATCAATAATTGTATAAGTCACAAAATTGACTGACTTGAGTATTTAGTACAAAAATGTCTTTATTGTGCTTAAAATCACAACATATAGTGAGTTAGTTTAGAAATTCTTAGACAAACAAAGAAAATAGAATGTTAATTGTAGAAATGCAATCTCTAATAGAAGTTATTGAAAAAGAGTTCAAAATGCACATATATCTATATATATATATAATTTAGCTAGTATTAAGTTATGGTCCAAGATGGTAGTTTTTGGGGTTGTTGAATTTTATAATTAAGCTACAAATATAAGGAAAAATCTTTAGTTTCAATCAATTCATAAAAAATTGATTAGGAACTCTTAATGAATAAATTAGAATTATAAATAAAAGGTAGGAAAAGAAAAAATTAGTAGAGGAAAAAAATGCCCTCCACTCCCTCTCTTCTTTTCTTTTTTCCTGTGTTTGGGTGGAGCTCCGAATTTTGCAGACGGACGCAGCAGGTTATTTATTTATTTCTCTATGTTTTCTTGTCGAAGTGTGTTTTCCAGAAGGTCAAGAGGGTAGGTTGCTGTACTGCTAGGCTTCGGAGGAGTGTCGACGTCCATCTCCTTCTTTCTGAGCTGGTGCTGTCGTGCAAGGGGTTCTCGGCTGTGGTTCTGTGGCATCAAGGTTGAAGTGTTGCGTTGCAACTGTCCAAGCGTGGGCAACGTGGAACGGAAGTGCAGTGCTCTTTGGTTTTTTTTCTCATTGTCTTCCAAGTTCTTCAACAGTCCATTCCTTGTTCCTCAAGCTTCTGATACTACATTGATAAGGCCGTTGCAATCAACAATCCTAAGGAGCTTTGTTTCTTTTCTCGTAGAATGTTCTGTGGCGTCGTCCCTCGCTGTGTGATTTTTTTTTGTTATTGTGGCGGTCCTGCCTCAAAGAGTGCTGCGGTCAAGGCTGCCGTGCTACCTTCGAGGTTTCCCAGGAGTGCGGCGGTTCAGGCTAAGGGCGTTGCGGTGAAGCACGGCTTGGAAGCTCTGCGGTTGGTAGCGTCGAAGGTGGTGCTGCTGTCAAGATCTTCTTCACCTTGGTTGTGTAGCTCTTAGTCAATGAGAATTTGGGTTTTTGACTACAAAGTGGTTTGTTTTTATTTCTTGGTGTGATGCGGCTGGAACAACAATTTGATTGTGTTGAGGCGTTGTCTCCTTTGCGTCATCAAGTGTTGTGGGTGTTCTCGACGGAAGTGAAGGCCTGATATTGGTGTATCGTCGACGGACATTACTTGTGCTTTGATTTAAGCCAACAGTCTTGTGTCTGTAGGCACAATAGGAGTTCTGTACTAGACTAGAGCCCCGTTCATTACAAGGGTGCATGTCTAGTCAAGCGTGTTGGTTGGAATTTTGCCAAAAATTTCATGCAACAAGGAATTCTGCCGAGTTCTCGTGAGTTGGTGCCACGGATGCTTGAATGAATGTTTAGTGGATTCTGAACTAGTCCTGCCAGAGTGGACTTATGTTGCTCTGCCGTTTTGATGTAATGAGATTGCAAAAAGGAACATTAATTTTAAGAGAAGTAATGCAAGTGGAGTTTTGGATTCATTAAATGGTTTTGTAAACCTCTCATGTCTTTTTAGAGTGGCAATAGCGGCTATCACAACTTGTTCTCCGAGCCAGATTGTTGTTGAGCGGCATGCTGTAGGACTTGCTCAGTATCCCGACATTAGAGTTTTTGTTGATTTAGAATCTGATCAGCAAGTTGAACCCCATTTTCTTTGTTTGAGGGAAATCAAATTGTGGAGTCATCTTTTGGGATTAACCTGTGACCTGCGGCGAACCTCGACAA